GATTTAGGTGAATTTTGAGCAGATTATTACATCAGATATAAGTTTTCCTGCTATTTTATATATTTTTATGCAATTATCTTCCTATTTTTAATCTTTTCTACCTAATATGCCTCTTTTTTTAAGACTAAATCATAGTTTTACTCTTTCTGATGTGTGGATACTGCCTACCTTTCTAATGCAGGACAACACTGTTTTGTAGAAAGCAAAAAAAGCTCTTCTTAAATCCTTACACACCTACAGCCTCCTGTGAATCTCTGCCAACCCACAGGTTCGAAACCCCCCCCGAGTTACACGCATGGCTGTACCTTTCACCCTCCGAGCAGCTTGCAGCCTCGTCGTCTCTCTGTGTCGGGGCTGTAAAGGTTCACCTGCTCATCAAAATCTCCTCCGTCCCCGTGTTAACATGTGATCTCCTTTCATAAAGGTATGGGTTTGTTGAGTTTGATGACCCCCGTGATGCAGACGATGCTGTGTATGATTTGAACGGCAAGGAGTTGTGTGGGGAAAGGGTCATTGTGGAGCACACCAAGGGCCCCCGTCGGGATGGAGGTTATGGTGGAAGAAGTAAGTGTTTTAATGGATTATTGTTTTATTTTCACGTGATTTTTTAAATGTCGATGATGGAGGGGTTTCGTTCATTACAGGGAAACGTTGATCTAAAGTTTCAGAAGGGGCACAATTTTAAGCTCGTCCTTGGTGGCTAATGTGCATTCAATTTATATCCTGATATTCAGACTGGAGATTGTAGAGGCGACTAAATTATTAAATCTCTTTATATATGTGTGTATGTCAACCAACTTTTTTTATCAAACACTATCTGACTTTTTGGGAAGAAAAATGAGACAAAACAGTAAAAACAGTGTCTTGTTATTGATAAAACAATAAGTAAAGTTTATTTTATCAGCTCTATCGGTACCATACTACTGATATTTATGAATGAACAGTTTATCCTCCCTTTTAGGATACTACAGTGACTTTTTTAAATAAAACAAAAGTGTAAAAACAACTTTTTTTTTATCAGTCTTTGAGTCGCACATCTTTATTTCATCAGGTTCTGTTGTTCTGGTGTCAATGAGCCCTCCAGGGTTTCAACGGCCTGTTTAACATACAGGCGCGTCTCAGTTTCTGGATCGAGTGCTCTACAGCTGCTTTTGTCTTTGTGTTGACTTGCAAATAAGTTAGGAGCCCGTGTACGAGCGGCACTCACTGCAGCTACTTCACAGGTTTCACCAACAGAACGACTGGGAGGAGTTTACCCGATCAATACTCGGTGGGATTAAACTTGCGTGCACCAGAGCCACCAATGACTTGTAAAAAAAAAAATATCTTGGATTTTAATATGATGGATTGAAAATGCAGTTAAATGTGAATATGTGATGGGGGAAATGGCTTACTGTCTTAATTTGAATACTGTAAAATAACCGTTTGACTGTCAAATATCTTGTAATCTATTGATGTCTTATTCCGTTTTTTTTTAATATCTTTTATATAAAATGATTGTCAATTTAAAGGTAAAGATTTAACAAAGAACCTCAATGTTTTAATTGAAAGAGTCCTTTGCTGACTGCCTGCCCCTATTGCTGGCCATGGTGTCCCCCCTTTCCAAGAGTGTGGTTTGACCATTCTGGGCCCCTGGGCAGACCAAAAAAGGGAGCCATTGTGAATGAAGACCGCTTTTCCCATTAGGCCCAGGCCGGGTGGTGAGGATGCCATGGGGTTAGGAACAGATGTGGGTTCAGCTCTTATAGGTGCCTGAAAAAACAAATGTTTTGTAACTGAAATGTTTTTAGATAGGATAGCTTAGAAACTTAATTTAGTTCACCGTAAGTACTTCCTCCAATCAGTTTATGTTTTTTGAGTTTTTTTTTTTTTCTTGCTTATTTCAGAAAGTAGGCCAATTGAAATTTTACTAGGGCTGCACGATGTTGGGGGGGAAAAATGACATTGCGATATGTTTTTTTTTTCCCTGCAATATATTGTGATAGTAATAATTGATAAACAGAGATTTTCAGTGTGTAATAAGTTTATCTGGAAAGAATTAATCATCCTAGAACAGTTTGTTTCAGTCCAGTTCAAAACCAGAACAAAGACAAACTAGTGTCTGTATTCACAGTAATGGTGATTACTTACACTAGAAGTTAAACATTGTATTGTAGTAACATCGGTGTAGACAGTCAGTTTTAAGTGTTTTTTTTAATCAGATTAGCTCTGGTTCTTGAACTGGTTCTGTTCAAGAACCTCGGTTCTATCTGCAGCTCGCATTTCCACCAGTTTTGAACGCAACCATTACAAGTCGGTGCACACTGCACAACGACCTGTAGATTATTGGCACTTCGGTTCCCAATGAACTAAGCAAGACATATTATTTTTTTGGGGGTTCCAACTGGGAACCGACTTTTCAGGTTCTGAACCCATTTATCTTTTGGTTGAAATGCTCAGAACGGTTCCAAACTAGTGTGTGTAAACCAGAACGGAGTCAGTTCCCTGTTGGTGGAAATGCCTATCTGTCAGGTGTCAGCATTTAGCATTTAGACTGAAAACTCCTTGAGAATCTCCGACTGGAAACCCACCAAATTATTCCTCCTCCTGACACAGACACCAGAGACGAGGCGCATGCTTTACCACGAGGTGGCTGCAGTGACGCAGACTTTACGACGCAATCTGATGCCAAGGGTAAAGCTGCATCTCTGCTCCACTGACCAAAACACACCGGCGGCTCTGTACACGCAGAGCCTGCAGGTCACTCACTAGCATCCAACTCTTTTGTATCCAAGAACCCTTTTTATTGGGGGTAAAACACATTACTGACGTCTCCTGTAGATTTAGTCCTGCAAAATGAGAAGCGTGCAGGTTTTTCTTCTGCATCAATTAGAAAAAAAGTGGTAGCATGACATGTTAAAGTTAATTTACTTTACTTTAAATTGCACATCCAGCGATCTGTTGCGTATGCGCACATCGTGATGTCGATGCTGAACCAATATATCGTGCAGCCCTAAATTTTACCACAATTTTATAATAAGCTACATTTGTGTTTTGTATAGGTTCAGGCTTGTAGAAAGAAATAAATAGGTTTTTTTTTTTTTTTAGGATTTAATGAATTTAGTTTTTCTTTTTTCTTTTTTTACCTTTGCTTTCCCCTTTTTTTTCTTTTTCCCAAATAAATATTGAGTTATTTTTTTAGTATTTAGCTTGGAGTTTAGTATAAATGCACCACCTCTGTTTCTTTTTGGTAGTCATTTTTTTTGTCCTTTCCTTGTTGCCTTAAAAGGTGGATATGGACGCTGGGGAAGAGACAGATATGGTCCACCGATAAGGACAGATTATCGGCTCATTGTTGAGAATCTTTCCAGCCGCTGCAGCTGGCAGGACTTGAAGGTATGTATTGTTTCTATTCTTTCATGCATAACTTTTTGTGTCCAGAGCCAATAATTTGTCAGCTGTCTTGTTCTTAGGAGCTCTAAATTTAGGAATACAATAAATTAGAACTGTCTGACTGAAGTCAAAACGTTTATGCAAAAACAATCCGAGCACCTTTGTCCTCTTTGAGTTTGTCACTTTCTTTCTTAGCGTAGTATTTTAATTCCTCACGCTGTGTTTCCATTTTCTCTACAGGACTACATGAGGCAGGCAGGGGAGGTCACGTACGCTGACACCCACAAGGGCCGGAGGAACGAGGGGGTGATAGAGTTCAGGCTGTACTCTGACATGAAGAGGGCTCTGGAGAAGCTCGACGGCACTGAGGTGAACGGTAGAAAGATCCGTCTCATTGAGGACCGCCCTGGAGCCAAACGCAGGCGCTCTTATTCTCGCAGTCGCAGCCGCTCCAGGTGAGACACGCCACTGCTGATATTCACGTTTTTTAAATATAGAAAATGCACGAGGAAGTTGAATGCACATGCATTTAAACAGTGTTTCATACGCAGTACTTGGAAAGAAGTATTGGAGAAAGGAGCATACAGTTGTAGACGTAAAAGAGACGCTGGCAACCGATGAAGCTTCATTAGATTCACCTCTGCAGTTGTGATTGTTGCTCATTATTATGTGTTTTCTCAGGTCCCGCTCCAGGAGCCGCCGTTCTCGCAAGAGCCGCAGCCGCAGTGAGAGCAGCAGTCGCAGCCGCTCCCACTCCAGGTGAGAAATCCAAACCACCAGAGGGAGATATCGTTAGTGAAACGAGTTCGTAGAAGCTGGTTTGGTGTATTAGTTTTGTAAAATGAAAGAGATGGCTGTGCGCGGTTTCCTAACTGTATATTCATATCTTCCAAAACCCACTGCATGCTACATGGCAGTGTACAATGTCTCTCAGCAGCCTCCTGTTTAAAAAAAACACATTTTGGCACTTGGTAACGAGTTAGATGAAAGATGAGAACGTGTTTCTATGAATAGATGTTTACATGGCACAGGTGGTTGCACTGGTACGCACGTAGCACATAGGCAGCGAGGGAACGAAGTAGCTGAATATTTACAGCTGCTGTTTTTCCACAGCCGCTGTCTCTGGGTATTTTATAGCTGTCAACTAGTTTAATCTTAGCAGGCAAAAGCTACGTTACTTTTTCACACCTTGGCTTAATGGAGTTAACATTACCTCTGTGTGGACATGAGCATGGTCTTAATTTGTATTTATAATCTTAAAAACATCTTAAATTTCTGCAGAAATCCTGCTTGTGTTGACCATGAACCTTTTTTTAATGATGCAAAACTGTTACTGGGAATAAATGTGATCTAATGGCTGTAAATACTTCAAATGTGACGGTTTCACAGCATTTTCTTTTTGTGTCATTGGGTTGGGTAAAGCAAGGAATCAAGTAACATAAAATAATGTCCTGTTGTCTGGTCTCGTCCACAGAGCGGCTTCCCGCTCCCGCAGCCGATCTCGCAGCAAGAAGAATAAGGGTAAGAGCAAGAAGGAGGAAGAAGAGCGCAGCAACGGTGCTCCGAAGAACAAGGACCGCAGCAGGAGTCGCAGCCCCAAGAGCAAAAAGAGTAAGAAAGAAGGGAAGAAGAGCAAGAAGGACGACTCCAGGTCCAGGTCTCGCTCCCGCTCCAGGTCTCGCTCTAGATCAGGGATTAAGGATCGTTCTAGGAAATCTGGCTCAAAGGGCCGCGAGCCGGCTAAGAGTGACGACGAGGGAGGCGAGCCTGAGAGGGGCTCTCGCTCCCGTTCACGCTCGCCTGCTGAATCCAAATCCAGAGCCAGGTCTAAATCAAAGTCCAAGTCCAAATCCCGTTCCCCCTCACCTGCCAAAGCCCGCTCCCACTCCCGATCCGCCTCCCGCTCAGAGTCCCGCTCCAAATCCCGCTCCCAGTCTCGCTCTCGGTCCCGTTCCCGCTCTTAGTTCAGATTTTGGACTGTTTGTCATGAGCCCTTATCCCACTGTCAGCCCTTGTCCTCCATTTACATTCCCCGATCCCCACAACACTACCCCGCCTCCTGTTTTTTGATAAATAGCTGTAGAATACCAGGCACTCTGCCCAATGTCTTTTATGCACACGCTACTCCATTTCATTTGACTTTTACTCTACATATTTTTTCATTAGAGCTGTCTTGTATGGAGGTGTTTGTAAAATAACAGGGTGCAATCTCAGTTTTATAAGTTTAAATGATGGTATGGTATGTGTCTTAGCCTTTTTTTAATCAAATGTAGAAGCATACTGTTTTGTCAAAATGCTGGGTGGGAAAATGTTCTAACATCTCCTCACCTTTTGTGAAATCCTCGTCTCATTTTATTTCAAATTAAAAAAAATGCCTGTTCTACATTCATACGTCATTGGATTTGTTTTTTTTATTGGTAACAGATTCAAAAGTCATTGAGGTGGTGATTGATTTATCTGAGTCCAAATCTTTGTAGATTTGAGATCAAATTATTACTCAGGGATATATATACACTTATATACACTTCCAGTTCTATTATAGCAGATAAACTGGAATAGTGCAAACCAGTTCTGATAACTTAATGTTCAAAGGTCTCATAACATTTTTTCTTAATACATTTGATAAACTAATAATGAAATAACTGGTTTTACAAAGTCAGTGTCACCATTCACATTCATTATCTTACATGGATAAGGCAGATTATATTGTAAACAAAGCCAATGAAAAGCCCAGAACCAAGAATGTAATAGTGCCTGTGTTTCCTAATGGAGCTCGTTCCTCTGTGCCAGACACAAGGGTTGTAAAAAAATAAACCACATTATTGCACTGGGGAACGTGAGTTTCAATCCCAGCTGTGCCATCCTGCTGCCATAGGTACCTGCTGAAGGCTGCTGGCTAATGCTTCATTGCAAATGCACTAAGACGGTATTGTAGTTGCATTTAACCAAATATTTTTCATATGTTGCTCTTGTGCTTTAATGAGGATCTTCATCATTCTCTGCAGCAGGAGATCTACTGCAGTAGTTTACATCAGTTAACAAATGCATTGAAAATATGAATATTGAATATAGAAAGTGGTTTATCAAACTTAGAGCTCCATTTGTATTCAATTAATAATTGACGTTTTAAATAAATCTCACACACCCCCTGCAGAACTCAAAGTACCCCCATTTGAGAAACACTGTGCCAGAGCACCAGATGTGTTAATCCACAGCTGGGAATAGTCCTAAACAAAGTCAGTTTACTCCTGTTGAGCAAGACCTCCAGTATGTTTGTCTCTTCATGGGAACGACAATGAAATGAAAGTACAAAGCACTAGTGTTTGTTGGCTTTAAATTCTTTAATATAAAATTGGCATTTTGCATGTTCTGGCTGCTGTTGGGCTTCGGCATTAAAGATGTTAATTGGTTTCCAACACGACAATGAGAACTCTGGTTAAAGTGCACTGTGTCAACATCTGTGCTATTAAAGGACCAGTGTAGGATTTAGTAGCATCTAGCAGTGAAGTTGGAGATTGCATAAGTATTTAACATTCCTGGGAATGAGAAGGGGTTGCAGAAACATGACAGACTCCACGTAAGGCGACATGCGGCATCTGTAGACAATAACTGCTCCTTCTAAGTTAACGGAAACACGACGATTCCTATATTGAGGTGATTATACACTAATGAAAACACACCTAATGAATATTATATTCCATTTCTGCCAGTAGATCTTACTAAATATTACACACTGGACCTTTAACTCTTCCAACTGAATTAATGGTCCGAGGAACCTGTGCCCAAAACAGAGGTGTGACAAGTACATCTCTTCATGTAAATACAGTCATTTTATCGTTTACAATTAGTATAAAACACATTTATTTACAGATAAACAGTAATCTGAGGAAATGTAACCACAGTCCATACAGTCTCATGATGCTACATCCATCACCTTCCCAAATACTACACATGGATCTCTTTTAGAGGTCTATCTTCTATATAATCCCTCATCAGGTCAGTTCTATCAGTATAATTCAAACTTCTCTCCTCGCCTTTCCCCGTGTAATTCAGTCGTGGCCGTTCACAAACCAGAGGCAGCTCCTCTTCCCTCCGTATGAGTGCATGCAGGCTGGTAAACGAAGCAGGCAGGTTAGCAGCCATCAGTCTGTACCTAACGCTGCCAGTGTCAGTCATAGTCATCCTCTTCTGAGGAGGAGCGCATCACCCCACCGCTGTCGTCACGGTAACACCGAGCCAGATGCCGCAGCTCCTCCAGGGCCTCCTCGTAGTCGGCCAGCTCGGGCCCCTGGGAGAGGAAGCTGGGGGCCACGCGGCGGATGTCGAAAGTGCTGACGCCGCGATGCAGCTCAGACAACCACCGGCCGAGCGCAGGCGCCGACTGGAGAGAAGTCATGACGGGTACAGAGGAGATTACAGGGGCCGGAGCTGCAGAGATATGGGAAGGATTATTTCCTAAAACCATCAAATTCAGGTGGAAAAGTTATAAAACATTGATAAAGGAAAAGTAAAAGTTATAAAGATGCTTACAGCCTGGCGGGAGAGGCTGGCTCTGCAGGAAGCCCTGAGCCCCGAGGGACTGACTGAATATCTGAGGGAAAGGTGGCGTCAGCTTACTGGGAGTAGACACCAACTGCAGAGCCCTAAATGTGGAGAGAGGACAGCAACGTCGGCTTAAAATACATATATACATATACATGTATACCCTGAAGATAAACAAGTAGTCTGTTCACAGCATGTGACGGCGTGGGGACTCACAGAGGAGCTGTGGGATAGAAAGATCTGATGTAGGACGCCAGGACGTCTTCCCCGCTGTGGAGGCTGTGCAGGGGAGTGGATGGTTTAGTCCCTGGAGCCAGAGAGCTGATGGAGAGACAATTATTTCAGAAACACATTAAAGATTAACGCCTGCATGTTTTTATAAGCCAGTTTCTTCCTGGATAACTTAATACGATGCAGACAGAAGACTTAAACTTAAGACACCAGGGTAAATGACTTCATGTTGACTTAATGTGGTTTTTGAATTCACTGATAATAGGATAGAATAACCAGACTTCATGCTTTATGAAACACGTGTCTTCTGTGTTTGTAATGTTGTGTTAAATGTATATATATTTGTTAAAGAAAGATTTCAGACTTGATCTGACAAAGTATCATCATCATTAAACTCTGATGGATTCAGTCAGAAATGTATGGCGATCAAGCTGAAGACAAGATCAATTCTTTGTTATTATCCTCTGGAATCTGGGTTCATTTGTTGTTGTCTTTGTTTAGCACCTTTAAAACTGGTGACTTGACTCATCATTTGTCCCTTTAACTAAGTAGCAGCTAAAGTGTGAAGCAGATAGGAATACAAAATACAAGGGGCCTATAAAAATGTGCAAATCTTTAGTAATAATCCGTAAAATATAAGAAAATACATTATTTCAGTATTTATACACACACAAATACAACAGAACCTTTTTTGAAATACAACTATAATACAGTTTATTTACTTGTAAACAGACTTTCTAAGTGATAATAATAAAGTTTTTAAAACTGTAAAGGCATACGGACATAAATGAGATACTGTGTGAAATCCCTGCATCTGCACTTTGCGCTGCATGTTTGAACATAATATATAAATAAAGTTTTGTTACCATGAATAAAACTATTTATAGTTACCTTCTTATGTTTAACATACATGAAATAATGGTACATTACAAAATGATTCATATATTCTGACCTGATTAGTTTCTGGCCCTCAAATCCTTTAAGTGTGGCCAACTGGCTGTAGCATTTGCCGTCGCCAGATTCAGAGCAAGCCGATAGGGGTTTCCATGGCAGCGCATCTGTGCAGGCACTCAGGGCGTCGGGGAGAGAGCTGCCGTGCACCATGGGAAAGGGGACGGCACCATAAGCAGCCACCACCTAGAATTTAAATGAACACCAGTTACCGTGAGCCTGTCTGTGTAGAGACGTGAACATAGCAGAGAGAAAACAGCAGCTGTGAGTCACCTTTCTCCCAGATACGGCCAGTGTGTCTGCGACCTGCCACATGGGGACGCTGTCGTTCCTCAGCCTGTAAGACGAAGTGAGGGCATCGAGGGCCAACGCCAGGACGGAGCTAGAGTGGTACCACAGTGAGGGCTACAGTGAAGAGACAAACATATATCATTAAACAATAATAAGATGTGATTCCAACTTTACATTTATACACTTATTACAGTGTGTCTGTACGTCTTAAAATGTCCTTAATCATATCTAAACTCAAAATCTCAACGTGGTTTAGTGTTATGCAAGTTCAAATCAGTTTTGTGGCAGTTTTTAGGTTAAACATAGTAGAAGTATCTGGTTATGAATCAGTCTAAATGTGCCTCTATGTGATCTGCATAAGCAAACGAGACCATCAGGGAGAAGACTGGATATTTTCTATATAGTTATTCTTAATGTCTGCCACCTGGTCGGATTCAGTCAAATTCCCCTTAAAATAAATAAAAGGAGGCGGCAGAAAGAACACAACATGAAAGTTCCTTCTTGCTGCTTTAAGTCAAATTAAAACAAAGTCCATTAAAATGTCAAAACAATGAAACTCCCTGTATATATTACCATTAAACATCTCTTAAAAAGTCTAAAAATTATTAAACTGTGATACACGTTTTAAAGCTTACATTATAGTTTAGATGGGGGAATGCTGTGGGAGAGGAGGGTCGTCTGCCTAGTCCACCACGCAGCGTCAACGGGCAGAAGAAAGAGCTGTTATTGGCCAAGTGGACTGTTCCTAGTGTGCAGTTTAACTGGTGATAGAGGTTCTTCATTGGAGTCTGGTGGAACAGAAAGAATACCGTAAGTACAGAAGCCCATTTACAAAACATCTGCTTTTTAAAAAACAGTAAGCGTTGAGTTTGTGACTCACTGAATCTGGGTGACTGACAGGTGCTAACCCCCAGGTTAGGATGCCTCTTCCACCATAAGCGTCCTGCAGCATCTCCGTGACCTTTGATCCCAGGCCTGCAAAGCCGTCAGCCAGGTCGCAGAAAACCTGGAAACCCTGAGGACAACAAGATGCAGATACAGTAAGGTTAATTAAGGAACAAAAGATGATGCGTGAAGAGCGACTGAATCAAAGTGGATGAGTAGTTTGTTTTAAAACTGGAAAAATGTGGATAATTAAACCTACATGTTTTGTAGTTTCAAAAGTAGAATAGAGAGATAAAAGAACAATGACTTACCTGAAGGTAATCACACTCTTCTACAAAGAAGTGCAGTTTGTCCTCCAGCTCCTCGAGCACTGACCCCTGCAGGAGACCCTCTCCCTGGCCAAAAGCCTCCAGACGGTGAGCCTCCCTGGACACACACACAAACATAAAGCTGTGTTAAGACTCATTCTTAACCCACTGAGTAGA